CACCCTAACGTGAAACCAAAGCTGTATACAACGCATATAAAATAAATTATGGTACCATCCACCGCAGATTGTCATGCAGCGGTGCTGCCATCTACAACAAATACCAGGGTGTCCTCGCCGTGGGAAAGGGTCAGCCTGTCACCCTCGCGCGAGGCCCGCATTCCCTTTTCAAATCCAACACCAAGGGCACGCTCCACATCCATATGAAACGGTGGTCCCATCATCATTGTCGTCATGAGCATTCCAGTAAGCCTGCCGTTTTCGTAACTCAGGACGCCGTTCATTATGTTGGACACATTCACATGAACCCGCACTTTATCTCCATCTTCCACCAGCGTCAGCGAGGGGACATCCCACTCACCCTTTGTGACGCCCTTTCCGTTCAGCTTGCTCAGCGCATACGTTCCAAAAAGCGTCTTTGCGTCATCCGCCATGTTCTCCTGATCTGGACCTTTTCTTCTTTTTTCTGTTCCGTTAATGGTTGAAAAGATGTGTAGTAGATCAAACAGCAAGGTGAGTATGCATAAAGAGAATGAGGATAAGAGTTTAGTTCGTATTTTTTTTTCCTTCTCTTTGAAGGCGATATACTAGAGATTGCCAGTCCGTTTCTGTCTTTAGTACATGAAAAAAGGCAAATATTTGTATTTATCAATTATGTCAGTTTTGTATTTTACAAAGAGTTGACTATCTCACAGTTGGACAGCAAGTAAATAATTGAGAAGAACTTTAAATATGTCTAATATTGACTTTCAAATTGTTTACTATAGGCAATACATGTTCTGTTTGGACTGCCATTGCCGCATAATGCGCCTCAAACCACTTATTTTTTCATCCACTTGTTGGCGAGCAACAATCAGTTTTAAAACTTCCGAACAATAATTGTTCATTGTTATGTAACGCCTCTTTACGTCAGTGACAGCCTATAAAGTGTAACATGAGTTACAGAATAAGTAAATATACATCTGTCTGATGCCAGCAGTCATCTCCTAGTAGTGAGTATGTTTGATTCTTCCTTCCATGAAAATACAAAACCTGCTCTAACGAGAATTGCTTCAATACGTTACACGGCTCGTTGCTCTTTGTTATGAATGTCAACATATGTAATGTCCTCTAGGGGACATCCTGACAAAAATAAAGTCAATAAAGCACAATTATGTGAGCAAAGCGACCATAGTAATTCTATATCGTTTCATTCTAAGTGTTGGTGTTAAGTTTATACCTGTCTCTGTGCAATCATCATCCAAGTACAACCTTATACAGCCATTCCTGTTGAGTGAAACTGTGAAAAAAAAGAGCATTTCCATAAATTTTAAAGAAAGCTGACAACAAAAAAACACTGAAAAAAACTACCCCTCCAAAAAACAAAAGCGCGTCACAAATTATATCCATTGCAGACAAAAAAAAGTGCAATACAACAATAAATGATAAGATAACAAACAATAAAGCACTCAAACGAGTAACAGAAGCAAAAACAAAACAAGAAAATCCATCCAACTGGGTTATTTAAAAAGCTTCCGGTGACGCATTTATGTGCCTTCACTCTTGCGCAACAACCTCTACCTTCTACTATATAAAAATAATTCCGGGAATAGCATATCTCCACATCAAGGAAACCCAAAGCAACATCATTTTAAAAAATATCTTCTTTAGATCCGCCGTAACCACTAACCTTATCATAGAAAGGAGGTGCAGAAGCAAGCAACTAGGCACTCATAAAAACTGTGCCCTCCCATCGCCTGACCTGAAGAATTTATATAAAACCAAAACTGAAGCCGTGTGGTATCACAAAATAGCAAATAATAATAGCAATAACGTTTCTTTTTTCATTATATAAAACGAAAAAACAAACATCATTGATGGTCTAACTACCTGAACAGTCAACTTCCACAAAAAAAAATGTGTTTCTGTCAGTTGAGTAACTCTTACTCCGTAGGCGCCGCTATTGTGCCAAAAAAAAACAACTATACAAAAAGAGACACTCTCAGGTAAGTTGTGCAGTGATTATTACTCAACCCCCCTCTTGAGCAAGAATCAGTGCTCTTCTTGCTTGCCCTCAAGTGCATCCAGGAAAGAACCGTCACCTTTTCGATATCGGAATACACTATAAAACAGGCTATACAACACACATGAAAATTAATTCTAGTGTTCCTACAAATGAAACTCTCACCTAAGTACACAATTAACACCACAAAAATTTATTCTTTTTTTTTAGTGCAAGAAGTAAGTATCATACTACCCAAATTAATTATTCACAACATAAAGCAAAGCAAAGCACTACTTTCCCCAAAAAGGTGGCGAAACTGATTCACCCAAATTGCTATTACCTCAACGGGACAACGGAACAGACACAGACGCGCCCAGAGTACGTCCAAAACAATATATATATATATCCAGAAATACCAAAAGTAAAAAAACACAAAGGAATCTAGGTAAACACGGAAAAAAAATCCAACAACAGCAAAAGCATACAAAAAAAAACTACTTCCTACAAAATAAAACATTCACAGAATTTTAAAGGCTGTTTAACATGTAAAAAAGAACAAAAAAGAATTAGCATTTGCCACAAAATTAGCCTCAAAAAGCCGAAAAAGACAACCACGACAACAGCCACCATAAACATACATAACGGCCCTCAAAATAAGATAACAACGTGAAAACGCACGACATGCTGATGCGGAACAACACAAACTGGTCGGCGGAGGCGTGTGCTTTGTTGCGGCTCGCGCCGGACGAACTTCGGCGGCGTGGTGCGTGGCTGCCGGCCAGCAGCACGGCGGCAGTACTGGAGGCACTTGCGCTGCCGCCGGCCCCGCTGCAGCAGCCGCCCGTGGGGGAAGAAGGGCGCTGGGCGCCGCACGCACACGACCGCCCGGCAGAAAAGACCGCCACGGCACCGTTGTCCGCGGCGCCGACTGCCTGGGAGGGCGATGCCGATGAACTGGCTGTCGTGGAGGACGTGGCGGGCGCCCCGTGATAGGCAGGAGCGGGCGAGGGCGAAAAGCATGGCAATGACCCCGAAGCGACGGGGATGCCGCTGTGAGGGCTTGACGCTGATGCGGGCGCCGCGCTGTCGCCATTCGAGCGGGGCCCTGGCCGAGCCGTTGGCGTCAGCTTTGTTTTTTGTTCCCTACGCTGCTGGGGTTGTGCGCTTGTGCCGTTCGTCCCGCGAACTGTTGCCATTCGTTTGTTTGTTGTCACTCCCATATGAGAGTTAATTGGTTGGGCCGGAGGTTTGTGTCTGTTGCCCCGCGTAAGGTGTAAGTGTTGGCGCTATTTTTTTCGAGACTGTGTTATTTGCGTGTGGGTTTGTTTGTTTTTCTTTTTTTTCCTCTCTCTGTATTTTTTATGTTTTGTTTTGAGGTTTTATTTCTGTTTTGCTTTCTCCGGCCGCGTCTCAGTTGCACAAGGTCATTCATGACTAGGTGCGGGATGGTATTAAATTTAATCGTGGCTTTTGCTGAGAGGAATCCTTTGGCATGCAAAAGGGCACGTTGGTGGTCCATGAGTGCCCTTTTGCAATGTACGCAGGATGTGGCGCAAAGGCCTCACTAGATGCTGGCCGACCAAGCTACGGGGGTGAGTGGCAGGAAGAAAATCTCTATATGGAAATACCTATGCTGCCGGTTGTGGATATGATGAGGGTTATCCTCCGGTTCGCAGGCATTCGCGGCCGCAAATGGTTATCTGTCTAAGATCTACGATGGAGGATATCAACCACAAATGCGGGGGCAGTATCCGCTCCAGTATTAGTCTAATTTATCCTTTTATTTTTTTCTTGTATTAAATATTCCTGTTTTTTATGTGTTGTTTTTTTCTCTTTGTAATTCCTCTTTTTATGCGAGTTTCATGTGTAGATATGTTTGATTGTGTGTATTTTTTTCCTTCCGTTATTTATAGCCATTGGTGAGTGCTTTGACTAAAGTATGCATAGGATGCCCCTGTGTTGCTCCTATCTTGGGGCATATATATAAGTGTGTGTGTTGACGTTGCCGTCATCTTGATCCTTGTGTGCAACACAACGCGCACATCTTGGGGGTGTTTTACTGCGCGTTTTTATTACGATTTGTTTTTGATTGTTTGCTGGTTGTTTTATTTTTATTCCTCTTGATTTTTTTTCCTCTATCGCTGCTTTTCGTTGACTACACTCTCTTAAGGTTGGAGCAGAATACGCTAGACTCATGTCGCTTCGGCGTTTGTTTTGTGATGGCGTCCCTGGAATGCGATTTGCTTTGTCCACAGAGTGCACGCCCGTTGCTCGTTTCCAGCAGCGGTGTCTGGGATCACAAAGGCGCACAGCGGACGGTGTCCCTGGCTCTCGGAAGCTGGAAGCAGACGATGGTGAGCAACCCGCCTATACAGATGCAAAGGCAAGCCCATTGGCGCCTTTCCGCGGTGTGCGGCGCGAACAAGAGATTGCGGCGAAAAGAGTTTATCGTGACACGGTTTCACCCTCACCGCTGCATTCCTCCGGGAAGACTGTCATCACGGATGCGGCCTCCAGTTGTGAGGGTGGCGCCACTGGCGGGCATCGTGTGGGTGGAGACGCTCAGGTATCCACGACAAGTAACCGCTTTCTTCAGAAGCTGTCAGAGCTGGAAAGGTCTGCTGCACTCACTGGTGCGAGTACTGGCAGGTTCTCTCAAGTGTATAGACGCGGGCGTGAGGAGAAGGTTCTTAATGAGCGGAAGCGCATGCTTGTCTTCAGAGACGTTGGAATGGACCTGGACAAGCCCATCCTGTCACGCGATGTGTTTCTTGTATTCAAGTACTTCCGGTACGGCATTGAGTTTGCTGTGGACAACGAACTGGAGCGCATGCTACGCTACTTCAACGAACATGCGCTGAACGAGCTCAAAATCATACAAAACAGCAAGCTTATGCGCGGCCCTGCGGTGCTCAGCCGGAAAAGGTGTCACCCAGTGTATGGGGGCGTGGCGTCTCAGATGTCGTCGGTGTTCCCTTCCCTGAGGGTGGCCAATGTGCGTCAGTTCTGCGGTTACACAAGAGAGACAGAGCAAAGGGTAGCTGAGCTCATGAAACCCGGCTCACTCTGTGCCTCTTTTTGCCGGGCGAAGGAAGACACCATGGCGAGGTCTTGGTCACGAGGACGTTATTTTTGCGAGCAGGACCCTTCACAAATGACGTCTTTTTCTCCTTCAGCCTTTCGGCGCCCCATGGTCGTGATTTACACTCAGTTGGGACAGAAGCTCGGTGCGCAGGCGGACTTGGAATGGCGCCGTCTGGCATACGCGACCATCCACCCCTCGCTGCTGCAGTGCCTTCCGATAGCCGATGCGGCGGGCGAGGGACACGTCCAGTCTTCATGCGAGCAGCACAAAGGAGGGCTCCGTAATCGTTCGAAGGAGGCATCAGTCAACGGGAGAGAGCACATCATGCCACTCGATGTTGTTTCGCTGCGTAGCATGGACGTATACAAGTATCGCTGGGTGCAGCGTTTGTGTGTACGCCGGTTTGCCCGGTCACTCGTTCCTCCTGCTTATTCCGTGGATCACACGGTGAGTGAGGCTGCGGTAAATGGGCTGATAACGGCCTCCACCACATTTGTCGGGTGCAAGTTGCTTCAGCCTTTCTACTCTGTGTTGGGCCTGCGTAACTACCTATCTCCCCATGTCATGCTTGTGGACCACGAAGGGGTGATTCGCTGGTTGGCGGCGGGTTGCCCCGACGACTACGAACGGGAGCACTTTCCTGCGTTGATAAAACAACTTGGCGATGAATACAACCGCGCGAGAACTCACTGATCGGTTTTGGGTCTTGTTTTCCTTTGGCTCTTTTTTGTTGTTGTCACATACACCTTTTGCGGCTGGAAGGATTCCGCAAAGGCAGTAACACCAGATTTAAAGCTGCGGCTGCCGGCGTACGGTGTGAGCGGTGGCAGTGTGCGGTGTTCACATAAAGAAGTAACAAAACGGGAGCAATAATTTGTGTTCCATGGGTTTGTGCGGTTACTGACCTGTGTGCATCTGCGGAGGAGGGGGTTGATGATATATATATATATATAATTTTTCATTCGGTCGTTGTGTGTATGTGCATCTGCCTGCTGCGGGAGGCGTTTGGAAACGAGGATGGACCTCATTAGTGGGCAGAATCTAACGTGTGTGCTCTGCCTGCCCGCGACACATGGAGCTGGTGAGTGGTTTACCGCGAGCATTTATGTTTTCCTCTTGGAGGCTTATTTTTGGCTGAGCGCGATGCAGTCTGGTTTGTGCTATTTGTTGGTTATGCCTCCAGAAGCGAGGAGACGCAGCGGATATTGTGCAAGGTTGGAACTCAAAGTTCCAGAACGCGCACAGGCCGTTGTTGGGTGGCGCTTGTGGAAGGAAACGCTGGGGAAAACAAACTGTTTTCTGGCGTGGGTGTGCGTGAACAGGGGTGTATGGTGTAGAAGCAGGTTTCCCAACGCACGGGGGTAGGGTAGGTAGGCGAAGGAAAGTGCGGCACTGTATCGTGCCGTGGTTGTGTGTGTCCTCCTCTGTGGAAGGTGTTTCCTGCTTCTGTGAACGCTTCACATAGCTTTCTTTCTCTTGCGGCGTGGGTGTCGGTTGGGATTGTGCAGCCGCTATTATGCATTCTTGCATCCCTCACTTTCCTCTTCCGGTAGCAAGTCATATGAGCCAGTCTTCCACTACTGAACCCCCGCCCATCGACAGCCACCGCGTTGTGTTCGATGACAGGGATGAGGACCTAGATGCACCAGAGGGTACTGGACCTGCACTCACTGAAGTGAGTTGCTCCTACTGTGGTGAGGACGATTCGCACTCTCTGGCCATGTGTGCCGCCTGCAGAAGGTGGTTTTGTAACGGTGGGCACGGTACCAGCGGCTCACACATCGTCTTGCACCTCGTGAAGAACAAGCATTGCGCAGTACAGCTGCACGCGGAAAATCCCCTCGGGGACTCCGCGTTGGAATGCTACATTTGTCGCTCGACAAACGTGTTTTCTCTTGGGTTCATGCCCTCCAAGGAGGAGTCCGTTGTCGTCCTGGTTTGTCGCGAGCCATGCCTTCACTCCAAGGCACTGCGCGACCTCAACTGGGATGCCTCCACGTGGCTGTCAGTGATCGAGGAGCGCCGCCTGCTTCCATGGATCTGTAAGGTGCCAGCTGTCCCCCGCAAAAAAATCACCTTGCACGAAATCACAACACTAGAGTTGGGCTGGAATAGCGAGGATAAGCAAATAGTGGAGGTTCTGGGGAATGCCCCAGCCGTGCCGCTCTACTTTGCGGACGCCGTGGAGTACAGAACGGTGTTCACGACGCTGGTCGAAATGGACTCAGTCGCTGCGAGGGAGCGAAAGGAATTGCTTTTTGAAAATGTTGCTTGCAGGTTGCAGAAGGAATTTGGTGGGAGGCACTTTTTTTTGCTGAAGCAGTTGCCGCCTTCCGAGGCGGGTCTACGGTGTGGCGATCAAGCCTCAGTGTGGGCCAAGGAGGTTTGGCGGTCGGTGAAGGGCGTCATCGTCGAAATCCGGAAGTCAGAGCTTGGCGATGAGGAGGTTGTGTTTGAGGTGTGGCGCAGTGGAACGGCGCAGGAGCGAAAAGCGTTGAACGAGATTATTGCCGCATCCACAGTGAACTTCCGCCTCGAGTACGACACCACAAGCTGTGGGAGGATGCTTAATGCGTTGAATCTGCTGGCGCAGAAGAAGACGGCACTTTCCGCGTACCTTTACTTCACGATACTTGGGCATACAGAGGAGGCAGCGAGTCGTTTTGCTGAGGCGGACATTGATCTTCCGCCGCAGCGAATATCAGGCCTGAACGCCTCCCAGGACAGCGCTGTGCGGACGGCGTTGCGAAACCCGCTGACGCTCATCCAAGGCCCGCCCGGCACTGGCAAGACGGCGACCAGCGTTGCCATTGTTCTAGAGTTGGATCGCCGCATTCAGTCCCAGATCCTTGCTTGTGCCCCAAGCAATGTTGCCGTTGACCACCTTGCCGAGAGGATTTCGGCAGCCGGTTTGAAAACGGTGCGCCTGCATGCTCGCTACCGTGAGGTGTCAGACTCCGTGAGGCACCTGGGGTTGGAGAGTCAGGTGGAGGAGTTCATTATGGCTAGCAACGGCAACAGGCGACTGAAACAGATGCTTGAGCTGAAGATGGCGGGTGAGATGTTGGACGATGACGAGCAAAAGATATACGAGGATTCAGTGAGGGAGATTGAGAGAGCACTCCTTGGCAGCGCTGATGTGATCTGCTGCACGTGCGTTGGGGCCGCGGATAGGCGGCTGGGTGAAATGCGCTTCCAGTACGTTTTGATCGACGAGGCAACGCAAGCGATGGAGCCGGAAGCACTTGTGCCTCTTGTGCGTGGCGCGAAGCAGGTGTTTTTGGTGGGTGACCATTGCCAATTGCGTCCCATTGTTTTTTCACGCCCCGCGGAAAAAGCCGGACTGCGTCGGAGTTTGTTTGAGCGACTACTGCTGACAGGTCACCGGGCGGTGCGACTTGAAGTGCAGTACCGTATGCACCCGTCGCTCTCCCTGTTTCCATCCGATCAGTTCTATGAGGGCACCCTGCAAAACGGTGTGACGGCGGAGCAGCGCGACGCATCATGGGTGTTCCCGTGGCCGGATCCCAAGCGACCGATCTTCTTCTACAACACGACGGGGTCCGAGGAGCTGGGTGCTAACGGCAGCTCGTACCTGAACCGAGCCGAGGCGGCGCTGACTGAACGCATCATAACGAAACTCATACACGATGGCAAGGTGGGGCCGGAGAACATCGGCGTCATCACTCCGTACCGAAGCCAGTGCCGGTTCGTGAAGAACTATCTCGCGCGCTGCGGTCCTCTACCGGTGACAGTCTATGATCGCGTCGAGGTTTCATCAGTAGATGCGTTCCAGGGGAGGGAAAAGGAGTTTATCATCCTTTCATGTGTCCGCAGCAACCGCCGCCAAGGGATAGGGTTTGTGGTTGACTGGAGGAGGCTCAACGTCTCCATAACTCGTGCGAAGCGTGGTCTGATCATTATGGGGAACGTGCAGCTTCTTTCACGGTACCCGGAGTGGCATGCTCTCCTCGCCCACCTTATGGAACTCTCACTCGTTGTGGACGGCCCCATCGAAGATCTTGTTCCGTCAAGGGTGGTATTGCAGCAGCCACGGGGTACGAGTGAGGAGCAATAGCGCGTGAGAGACATCTCGCTGGCAGTCGTTCTGAACTTATTGTATTTCCGCTTTGCTGCTGCGTTTTTGCCCAACGTACATTTTTTTTCCCTTTTCTTTTTTTGGTTGTGTCAGCTTGTGCGAGAAACGGCCTGGAACGACATCTGTCTATTGACGATGTGTACCTCTCCCTTTTATCAATTGATCATTGAAGCGATGGTCGCGGCGGATAAGTGGTGAATGCCTCCTCAACTCCAACACACTCCCGCGAGGAGGGTAGTATAACGGCGCTTGCAGCAACCTGCCGTTGGCATCTTTCTACAAAGGGTGAATAACGAGATATTGTCTTGGGCTCTTTCTCTCTCTCTCTCTCTTTGTAGTTGATATTGCATGGATGTGTATTGCGACCATATAAGTAATGTGAGGAAAAGTATATATATATATATAATCCCACATTTTTCGGTTTTGCGGAGAGACATTTAATGAGTATCTTATTTCTTTGTGAGGAGCGTAAATGCCTTTCTTTTTCATTGTGTTGCTCATTTGCTGCCACAGCACCTGCTGTGGCTGCTGTCGGGCAGTGCCGTCTACCTCGATTGCTGCGTTCGTTTGTTGTCGATCCTGCTGTTTTGTCACTTTTGTGGTAACTGAGGGCAACAGTCCCGTTTTCTACTAGATGAGTCTCGTGCATCATTTCTTTCACGTCAAGGGCGGTGCGACGACGGCGAAGCCGAGCACCACCACAAGCAACACCGACTGCGCCCCTGGTGCAGCGGCTGCAGAGACCGTTTACGTCGCCGTGCAGGGGTGCTGCCACGGAGAGCTCGACAGCATCTACGCTGCTTGCGCTGCGCATGAGAAAGTGAGCGGGCGGCGGATCGATTTTGTCGTGTGCTGCGGGGACTTCCAGGCGGTGCGGGACGAGGCGGACCTGCGCAGCATGGCGGTGCCGCAGAAGTACCGTGTGATGGGCAACTTCGCGGCGTATTACCGGGGCGAGAAGCATGCGCCCTACCTGACACTCTTCGTGGGTGGCAACCACGAGGGCTCCGACTGGCTGGCAACAGAGTCCTACGGCGGGTTCCTGGCGCCAAATATCTACTACATGGGGCACTCCGGCGCCGTAGTTGTTGATGGCCGCGTCACGGTCGCTGGGCTGAGCGGCATATTCAAGGGCCACGACTACGCGCGACCGTATCCCGGCCGTCCCTTCCACACATCGGAGATGGCTAAGCGCTCCGCCTACCATGTACGGCGCATTGAGGTGGAGAAACTTATGGCGCTGTCACGGGCACTGGAACGCATGCGGCAGCACCCGGCTCCCCCAGTGACTACATCCACAGCGGTGCCCAGTGCGCCGCCTTCGCGATGTGCTGCGGCATTTCCACACGTTGACCTGTTTCTTTCCCATGACTGGCCGACGGGGATCACCAAGTACGGGGATGAGGCGCAGCTGCTGCGCTACAAGCCCTTCTTTGCGGACGACATTAGGCACGGTGCACTGGGGAACCCGCACACAATGCCGCTGCTTTGCGCCGCCAAGCCCCGGTACTGGCTGGCAGCGCACCTCCACTGTCAGTTCGAAGCCACCGTGCCTCACTACGACGTGGAAGGCGACGCCGCCGCTGCTGGTGTGCCGCGGGCCACGAGGTTTCTCGCGCTGGACAAGTGCTCGAAGGGGAAGGGCTTTCTTGACTTCATTGATGTCCATGTGGGCTGCGGCTCCAGCTGCAGCGGCCCCACTACGGAGGAAATGCAGGAACGAAGTGTGAGCGGGCAGGGGCGTGTGGTGCACCATCCGCTGTGGCTGGAGGTGCTTCGAGAGACGCACGACATGCTGATGCGGAACAACACAAACTGGTCGGCGGAGGCGTGTGCTTTGTTGCGGCTCGCGCCGGACGAACTTCGGCGGCGTGGTGCGTGGCTGCCGGCCAGCAGCACGGCGGCAGTACTGGAGGCACTTGCGCTGCCGCCGGCCCCGCTGCAGCAGCCGCCCGTGGGGGAAGAAGGGCGCTGGGCGCCGCACGCACACGACCGCCCGGCAGAAAAGACCGCCACGGCACCGTTGTCCGCGGCGCCGACTGCCTGGGAGGGCGATGCCGATGAACTGGCTGTCGTGGAGGACGTGGCGGGCGCCCCGTGATAGGCAGGAGCGGGCGAGGGCGAAAAGCATGGCAATGACCCCGAAGCGACGGGGATGCCGCTGTGAGGGCTTGACGCTGATGCGGGCGCCGCAGTGATGGAGGATTGTCTTAGATGAGGTGCCTCTGCCCGTAGTGAAGGAAATGGATTAACTTTTTGTGTCTAGGTGCGTTGCAGAGGTTAGGGTGTATGAGGAGGGCGATGTCGTCTCTCGTTGCTTGTGTTATCTGCCTCTTGTTTGTTGGTCTCTGTCATGCACGTGCTGTGGACGCCTCTGTCCTTCATTCACCAGCCGACATGCACGTACACATATACAGATATACGCCTTGGATGTTGGTCCGTGGGGAAAGGAGGGCAGGCCAACGAGGGCGGCCTCAATAGCTCTGTTCATGCGTTTTGGTTTTGAATCGGTTTGTGTGTGTGAGTGCGTGGCACCGTCTCTCTTGCAATGCGTGTTTTGTTGTTGTTTTTTTTTTGTCGACAACACTCACCGCGTAGGTAGCGAAGCACTTCCACATCAATTTGTATACATCGCACCCCTCCTTGCGTGTCTACACCCACAAGGCGAAGAAACCCATTAGGGCCGAAAGGGGTCTTAGGAGGAAAGGACAAAAACTCAAGGAAGTCGAAGGGAAGAAACAAAACAAAAAAAAAGGAAAATAAAATAAAATAAAAAAATAGGAACCAGCGAAAACACTGGATCTTCAATCGCACACACGTGGCTTTGTAAATAAAAGCAAAGCAAACACAAAGGAAGGAGTTCGTGTGTGCGTGCGTGTCTGAGCGAGAGAAGCGACACCAACAGCGTAGGGACGCCGTAGTTGCAGAAGTAAACCATTAGGGCTTAGCGAGCTGGCAGTGCGCGGGGTACGTGACAAGCAAGACAGCCGCAGACTAACACCGGCGGATCAATTAGCGCAGCACCAGGTGGAAGTGAAAAGGCGGGGGTCGCGCGTATTCGTAGAGCTTCCCCACCTTAACATCACTTGTGGATACACACTCGTGCGTGTAGAAGGGGGCCAACGGGGACCGGGGTGTGTTGCAGAGTTGCACGAGTACCACCGTTGCATCCCCGCTCACACACCAACCAAACATCACCGCAGCAGCAACAGCAACAGGCGTGGTTGAGCGATAGAGACAAACAAGGTGAACGGGCCGACCGAGGGCAACAGCAACAGCAGTGAGAGGAGCTCAGTGAAGAGGGACCATCAGGCAGAGGGCGGTTTGAGCACCTGTCTGCGTTTCGATACAACTTGAGCCACAAAACGCTCTTCACTTTTGATCGGTTCTTGTCTACTTGCCACTGTTGTTTGTTTGTAGTTTGTCGCCTCCTGTGATTCGTTTATTTTTATCTTGTACTTCTTGTTGTTTTGTTCTTGGTTTATTATCTTTTTTTTGTTTTTGTTTTTGCTTGTTTGACTCGTTGTGCGTTTTGTTTTATCCACGTTATTTACTGGGTCATATACCTCTTTGTTGATATCTCCCCAGTGAGTGCGTGTGTATTATTGACGTGGGCGGTGTATCGTGCACGGATCCTGCAGAAACCTGTACCCCGATCACCAGTGCCAGTCGCCCTTTGTGTGTGTGTGTGCGTGTGTGTGTCAGGAGATAACTCCCGATAAGGAAACCAGGAACGGAGATTGAAAGCACGAATATATATATATATATATATATATATAATATATTTATTTTATTTATATATAAATATATATATATATATATATTTGTTTATTACTTGTAAATATATACACCGAGAAAACGAAAGAGAGAGTGAGGAAGAAAGAAAACCGGAAAAAAAAACCAGAGAGGAGGTGCTGCGTCAGTTACTTTTTGAGGGACTTTGAAGCGGAAGCAGCACTTGTTATTTATAAACGAGGCAATCGTTTGACGCCAACAAAATGGAAGGGCCGCTCAACTCACAGCAGCACGGCAGCACGCGGCAGTCGCCCTCGCTGCAACAGGGTGCCACAAAGGCAGTGACTAATATCTCTGGGGGGCTAGACATGTTTGACATTCAGCTGCAAAATGACTGCGCCAACGTCCCGGGTTCGTTCATGGGTAATTTAAATGGGAACGCCGCGGTGGTGGGACTTCCCCCCTCGCCACCTGTGACGTCGGCGGCAATGTTCTCGTCAATCGCCACCGCCACACACGGCCTGGCTTCTGCAATGAGTAACCCGCAGACCGCACGCCGCATGGTGCAGGAGGTGGCGCAGGTCATCCTTCGCTTCGTCTCCACCCCCGAGGAGCCACAGCCGGAGAACCTGACGGACGAGTGCGGGCGGCACTTGATTTTACAATTTGTGGATGAACTTCAGCGCTCGACAGCTACAGTAACGACAGGAATGACAAGCGGCGGCGATGGACGATTGACCATCGACAAGGAGGTTGTGTTGTCCCTGAAAAATGGTAGAGAAGATTTGCCGCCTCCAGGGGCAGAGGTGGCGCGCCCGCACCATCCCTACGCTGGCTACTGTGGCGTGTTGAACGCTGCGAGCCCGCGTACGACGACACAGTTGTTGTTGCGGGGCACCCCACCAAACTTTTCAAACGTCGCCCAGGGCAGCAACAGTACCAGCGGCAGCACAAACGCCAATATCAACAATCTTCGTAGTAGCCACGGTGCCATGGAGAGCTTCAGCCCCGCTGGCGTGGGGGCAGCAGTGCACCAGCAGCCAGGCCTGACCGTGACGTTGCTGAGCAAGCGAGTGAGTGGTGGAGATGTGTTTCGTCCCCGGCCACAGCATCCCAGAAGCGGAAACCGCACGCTGATGATCAACCGTCGCGTCATGACAAGCACGAAGAAGGTGCTTCGCTCGGCTAGCTCCGCCTTTTCAGAGTGTTCCGCAGGTGAGACGGGGGAGGTGAGCAGCTCCATGTCACGCACCACGATTGGAACAAGCGCGTTGGCAAAGTAGAACCCACTCGCACAAAAAAAAAAACGAAGAAAAAAAATAAAAAAAAAAGGAACAAAACATCACCACGTTTTGTTCTTTGCTTCCATCCTTTTTTTGTTTTTGTTTTTTATTCTTGTTTTGCTTTTATTTTTCTGTGCCTCTCCCTCTTGTATGAACAGAGCACGTGCATGCCTCCGCCCAGTTACATACGTGCAGGTTCAGTATCCCTGTAAGTACGGATGCATTCTGTCTCTCGCTCTGCGAACGCGTGAGTGAGTAAGGAGGGGATAGATGGATGGATGGATGAGTGGTGGGCGTGAGCCCGTACGCGTCTGTGCCTTTGTTATTGCTCCTGGTAGTATTATCTATGTGAATGTATGTATGTGTAGGTTGAGAAGGAGCGGGAGATTGAGAGGGCGAGAAATAATACTAAGAGAGGTTAGTATAAGTGAGTCTGCAAATCAGACGCCGTGCTGGAAGCAATTCAGCAGAGTAGACTTGGGGAGAGTGACAGGGTGTTTAGCAGCGGGAGAGGATGAGAGACAGCGAGGCGGCAGAAGTATATATACATACACATATATATAGATATATATATGTAGTCAAAGTTCTTTTGTAATGAATGAGCAAAAGTGGGTGTTATTTATGATGTTCTCTTATATATATATATATATATATCCTGTTTACCTTTTGATTTTCTGAATTCCATCGTGTTACTACTTCGCTGTTGGGTTTGCTTGCCTCCGCTTTTTTTTTTTCCTTTTCCTTTTTCCTTTTTTGTCGCATGGGCATTAATCCCTACGTGGCTGGCGTGCGGGTGTTCTTTTGCTGCTGCCGCCTCTGCAACGGCTGTGTAACTTCAGTTTTACCCATTGTAATTTCTGCCCCGCTCTCACCGCACCCGCGCACGCCTCTCTGTCTATACCCACGCACACAACCGCGTGCATGCATGTATGACGGCGGGAGAAAGGGTGAGAGCTGGAGCCCAAAAATAAAGAAAAATTCCCAGAGCACCTCCACAAAGCATGAGCCGCTCCACCTGCACATTGACAGCGAAGAAGGAAATAAAGAAAGAAAGATAAAATGTGCGCGCAGGCTTGGTATTTTAGTTTTGAAATTATTATTATTATTATTATTTATTGTCTCCGTTGGTGTGCGGGCTGTATGAAGTGTTGCTGTGCCTGCTGTTTCCCCCACCCCCCACCCCACCCCACCCCTGTACCGTCGTTTTTGTCCACTCGCTTCATCACTGTGTGTGTGTATGCGTGCTCGTGCGGCAGCAAAGGCTGTGTCACGCACCCCAACTGCATCCAAAGNGAGAGAGAGAGAGAGACGTGAA